TTCCAGCAGGAGTACACTCTAATATAATTTGGCCTGGCTACCCTTTCAAATGCAGCCTTTCCTTGGCTGGGCTGCTTCAGGTCCATCCTCCTAAATGTCCCAGCAATTATGGATGCAACAAGAGCGTGTGCCCAGGCTTTGCTCTGGCCTCTTCAGACCTGGAGTGACACCAGCCTGCAGCACACAGGACCCCAGTTTGCAGCAAAGAGCACATTGCTGGGTGTGTAACTGGATGCATTAATACAGTGGGGTTTTTTCACTGCCCATGTTCAGTAAAGGCACAATATAGGTCATTTGCTTAGGCTTTGCTCCTTTTTTCTCTTTGATTGAGGTTTGGCAGTGCTCAGTCAGTCTGCAAGTTGCACGGTCCCTTACCAGATCAACAAGCATCAGTTACTCTGAACGGGATTCCTGATCCCTATTTTACATTCACTATTTATCTTTTTCAGTCTGTCTTTCTGCCAGCACCTTTCATTGCCTGTAGCAGAGTTCACTAGTCCATTACTCGGTGCTTTCCATGCAAGAGAATGGTTTCCAGGGAAGGGGCCCTTGCTTTGCTGTATCCATCTCCTTAGACAAAAGCTATCAGAGGAAGAACTTGAAAGTCTATCACAAAGTGCTCTCTGTTGCCTCACCCTTTGTGAATTGAAACATGATTTTTCCAACTCTTTAAAGATCTTCTTGCAGCATTGCCTTGCCTGCATGGTACACTTGAGTATCATCAAAGAATCACAGCACAGTACTGGTTGGCTTCTCTTGGGTTTGTTTCGGGGTTTTTTTTTTAATACATGCCCTGATTGTATGCAGCAGCAGAGTGCCAAAGCTATTGAATTGTCCCCAAAAGCAGCTAACTGGGGACGTATTACTCATAAACAGCTGGTGCTCAAGGACAGTGTTATTCTGGAGGGACTCACAGTTTAAGGATAACCAGTAATCCCCTCTCCCCTTGTCCAAATCAGTGGAAAGGAAATGGGAATTGCACCACATGATTTTTAGAGGCATTGAGGTTGGCTTCTCTAAGAAGCTGTCCTTTAAGAAAATAAGAACCATGGCCAAGGGGCTGTGCTGTGAAGTTAGTGGGGCTGTGATATGCAGAAGGTGTTAGAAAAGGGATGGCCTGAGAGGCTGAAAAAGAAGCCGACAAACCCCAGCTCGTGCAGAGCAGCAAGGGCATTGCAGGGTTTGGAGGGGCTACAAAGGATAAGAACTTTGATGCTGCTAAGGGAAACTACGAGAACAAAGAAAGGAGGAGATGAGCTGCATGGACAGATTTATAGGCAAGGACGGGGCTGTAAGCTACAGTTTTGAATGATTTGAAGTGAAGAGAGACATGATGTAGGCATTTGGGAAGCCAGAGAGATGAGTGTCACAGAAGCTGAGCTTTTAGAAAGGACAAGCAGAAAATATACTGCCCCAAAGACTCATTCATTCTCTGGTCGTCAGCACACTTCCATTTCCCTGGGGGCAGACAGCACTGCTCTTCTCTGGGATGCCGCGTTGTACACAAAACCTGCGGGAGGACAGACTTGCCGCCTGCCACGTCCAGGCCAGAGTGAGGACAGACTTGCCCCCTGCCACTTCAAGGCAGGAGCCTCTTCCCGAAGCCTGCGTGCCAGCTGCTGGGAGCGACCGAAGGCTAGGCGCCAACATCGCTGCTCCCGTCGGCCATCAGCACCCCACGCCGTTGCTTTCTGGTTTTGCAGCCATCAGCTCAGCCTCTGGCCAGAGTTACGAACCAGCCAGAACATTATGAGGTAGCAGGCAAAAGCCCAAAGCCTTGTTAAAAGTAGTCCATGTGACACCGACTGCAGCCAGAAATTGATGAAAGTGGAGCGGTTCTGCACATGGTGGGTTGCACGGGTCCGTTTGGGGCTGAGGCAGCGGCAGGACCGGGTGCAGGGGTGCACAGTCGCAGTCCCGGGCGGTGTGTGCCGGGGTGCACGGGGCTGGGTCCAGCGGCAGGCGGGGAGAGGCAGCAGGCGTGGAGGAGGAGGTGCTGGGCTTTTTTCCATCCCCAGCATCTTAAACTAGTTAATTATATTTTAAAACTGTGTTGTCAAACCCGAAATGAGATAAGTGAAAGTAAGGAAATACCAGAACTAAGGTAGCATGATTTATTGACATGAGCTGCTAATAAATGCAGTAGGTAACTACATATATTTAATTATATATTAAGTGCAAGCTGGATTTTTAGTATTGGTTTAATACAGTGCATGGTGTAAGCTCGTACTATTTTTGTCTTCATCTACAGTCACATACTAATCATCAGAAAACTTTCCCACAAGCATTTGCTGCTACAAAAGGCCAAGGAACTGAAACACCTCCATTAACTTTTTGAACCAGGCTTGGCACAATGTGTTCAAGAACTGAGAGAAGGACAGAAGATAATTCACAGCAGACCAGGCACCATCCCCAATTAATGATAAAGCAGGTATGTCAGAAATAAGGAGGAAGGATTTTTTTTTTTTTTGAGGCCTTTTAAATCATATATACTTAACACCTTCCCAGATGTCTTTCTCATGCTTTATCATCTGAGGGGAACAAGACAATAACGGTAGTAAGAAACTTGTTTCATGTCTGTCTGTCTGGGCTTTTTTCCCTTATAGCTTACATTGCTTTCTTTCTGTTAAGATGCTGAATTTTTTGTGTTGTATTAAAAAAGTCCATTTAAAATCCATGCTTTGTGAATGTTTTCTAACCAGAGTGATGTGCCCCTTCCCGAACATGTGCAGCACGGTACTATTTTACCTACCGATCACAACTCCTGTTTACATTTCCTACCCTCTGTGCGCTTGGCTTTGCAACTTCAATGCCCTTAAGAGGCAGGAGCTTTTAAAAATGATGCGATTTAAAACTGAAGGTGAAAGGCCACTGGGTTTACCAAACTTCTCAAAGACTCCAGCCTTTTGGGGGCTAGAGATGAACTCCTTGGAGAAGGGGAGGAGTTCAGAAGAAGTCTCTCCAGGCCCAGGACGGCAACGCCCAGCAGATGCTGCCGGAGGTTCAGCCGGAGGGTTGGCCAGCAGGACGTGGTGCCGGGGATGCGGCTGTCCTCGAAAGCCTCCCGCCGGGATACGCGATCCTCTGTAGTGTGATGCTGCTGGAACCCGCCGCTTGCACAAGCACGGGAGATTAAAAGGCAGCTGTGCTAGTGCCCAGATTTCCTGAGCTTATGGCAAGTTTTTTGCCCCAGTGGTTCCTTGACCTTTTATTAAGACCTCTGTTTAAAAAAAAAAAAAAAAAAGCAACAAAATGAAAAATTTTAAACTATTGAACTGGGCTACAAATGCTGGTGGCTTGGCTTCATAGCAACATAAATAGCCCAGGCAAGACATAGCCACAAAGAGTACACTAATTTTGTTTTGTTTTGTTTTGTTTTGTTTTTAATTGGTGATTTCCAGTATCACTTTGGACATGCAGAGTTAAAGTCTTCTATACAGGTGGTATAAGGTGCATGCCTTTCTTGATTGCTTTAACGTATTATCATTACAACGCAACATCCACCTTTATTTAACCTTTACAGAAGCACCAGTGTACGTGCAGCTGTTGCAGTGCTGTCACTGGTACAGATAACTCACGCATTTCAAAAAGTCGTGTACAGCATTTATCGCGAAGCAGGAAAGAGTTGCTAGTAGGAAAATAACACCTTGGTTTGAGGCTTTTAGTCCTGAATTCTGCACATCCTTTGCTTAATTTTCTTCTGTTATAGACTCTTTTTTCACGTAACATTTAATATGCTTCCCATGTAAAATTTGCTCTTTAATGCTTGCTAATAAATAAGTATATAATTACCCTGACTCCTATCAGAGCTAATATAGTTGAACAAACTTTCTGAAAAACAAAAACACATGTACATTACACAGCATGAATGAGCATCCATAAACACCCTACCTCCAAGATCTGATTTACAGCAATACAAAAATGAGAACGTACATTGCGGGTGTACCCCAGACATGACGAGAGGGGGAGAGAGTACAGGGAATATCCGGTAATTGAATGTGATGATGATCGGGTGGACAAGGGGATGAGAATGAAAAGACCTTCTAGTGCAGAAACCAGAGTGAAGGCAATGTGTACGTGGGCACGCGGTGGTTGCAGGGAGGTAACCGACGCTGTCCCAGCCCCTTTGGGGTCATGCAGAGCCCAGCCAGCTTGACAGAGGTGAAAAACATGGAAATATGTTCCTTCTTTACCTTCCCTCCTTATCTGATTTTCTCCTGGGAGAGAACTCCTTGGCTATTTGACAGTTTATTTGTCCGGTTTGGCCTTTGTGGTCTGCAGTTTCAGGCCTCCTGTGACTGCTTGCACTTCTGTGCATGCACGGCGATATGCACAGCCAAACGTCTGAGCCTGAAGGTGAAGTTAACCAGCTTTTTTTTTTGGCTGATTTGCTGATCTTGAAAGCACTTACTGAAGGTCCTCTCCTCCTTTGACCCACGAGGGTGTACAGTTAACCTTAATGTCGCCGAAGTCATCACTCATGTGGATACAACACTTGCAAAGTTCACATTGTAATAAAAGAGAAAGTTTCTATAAACACCGCATCCAAGATATGCTTTGTGTTTATGCTGAGAAGGTTTAAAGACAAAAACCCTGAAGAGCTTACATGTACGTTTAACAGTGCTAAGTTGAGGTAATTGTTACACGATATTCCTGGTTAGTGAAATTCAGTTTCCAGTAGCTTAATGTTGCATTTGTGATGGAGAGTAAGTTGCCATCCACAGCCACATGAAAGTCTTACTGGCAAACACTGTTTGACATTTCTCCATTAAGACAGGATGCAGTGGTCCTATTTTTTCCCAATCATCTGACTTAATTAAAAAAAAAAAAAAAAGACAAACATCTCAAAATGGCCATCAGCAGCATGACGTATCGTTGTTTGTTTTCACACAGAGGTGGGTGAGGGTTTGGGTTTTTTTTTTCCCCAGTCCTTCTGGATAGATGATAGCGTAGCACCTAGCACCCCACTACATGTGGGATGCTACCCACCTCCACTCCCCTCATGTGAAGTATCGACACTCTGTAGAGTCAATGTAGCAGTATGAAGTGCATCGCAATTTTCCGTAAGACCTACAATAAAAGAGAATATCTCAGTTTCAAAGTATGCTGTAGTTCACATTATATGGTTTCTGGATGCAGCTCTCTGTAGGAGTGAAGAACATCAGAAAATGCCATGTGCAGCAACATATGGGAACCAAAATGAGGGGAGAATTTCCATCAGTGCTCTACTGTGCTCCCCCTTGTCAGCAAAATAGGAGTCCAGGAGAAACTATGAGTGAAGACTTAATTCCCAACAACATCAATTAAAAAAAATAAAATCTCTATTGATACTGGGACTTGAGCATTACATGGGAGTGGATGCAGGAGGCCTTGGTACTCATCCACAGGAACTGTAACGAAATACCAAGGGCGCTGTGTGTTAAGTGTTTTTCCAGTTACTTCCAATAACTCCAGCAGGCACGACTGTGCCTGTCCTTAAACTTATTTTTCATGTACTTGAAATAATGATAGTGACACATGCCCACCCTTGAAATAAAAAAAAAATATAAATGGAAGGGTCCTTGCAAAATAAGGAAAAACAGTGATTTTGTCTTTCTACTGACTTAAAATGAGCTGCGATGACTCTACTAAAGACCTGACCAGAGATGTTAATATAATAAGCATTCTGATGATTTTCTATTGCTAGCATATGTCTAAGTGAATAACCCATCCATCAGATAATCCACAAGCTGTGGATGAAGCAGCCGTTAAGCAGATCCTCAAAACTCTGTCCTTGGATAACCCGCATTCTCAGAAAACCAGCATAAAATCTGAAGTGAATGTTCATGTAATATGAGGAGGGATTTGGGAGCTGAAAAGAGTAGAAAATGGGAAAATCAGTTGCAGCAGAGCTCTTGGAGGAGAGGGTGCTTTGGGATGAAACTCCCATGGGGTTGCCAAGTTCACATACTTATCCCATTTTACTGATGAGTCACAGCTTTTTCTTTAGTTTAGCAGATAATCTGCAGACTGCACACACAAAAACAAAGGATTTCGGTTGCTCTTCACAACTTGATTATGCACAGAAAATGAAATTTATAAAAATTTCTCAAGCTTTTGTGGTGCTATTTTGGCACCAAACTTCAGACTTTTAGAAAGGAATTATTTTCACAGCAGAAAGCAGCTCCATACTGTCTGAAGATGAGATCTCTGTAAAATGTTTCAGGTTGTGAGGTTTGCTGGTCTGGATTTTAGTAATCTCTTACACCAGGAGTGCTCCAACAATTGCAGTGGAAGGTTTAGCAGAGCACTTGACTTACAAAGACGTCCTGTGGTTTCTTATTCCCGTCAATTAGCACATTATTCTCCCATGAATGATGAGGGCTCTGGGCATAATTTAATTTGCAAATTAAATGTTTCCTGTTAGCCAGTAACAATACCTGACAGTTAATTAGAGGTACTGCTGTTGGAGGCAAAATGCTGACCAGAGGAAGCAGCTTAAACAAAGGCAGAGAAGGCAAGTCAACAATAAGCAGATGTTTTAAATGAAGGACATTGCTAAGCAGATGCATGGCTTTGCATCTGCTGTTGAGTGAATTTCCTGGTCTTTGGCAAGGCTGATAGATGGACCAGTTGATTCAGAAACAAAGATACCCCTAGGGTACCCATTAATGGGTACGGGGAACAGGAGGTCGGTTGGACATTGTGGTTTGGGGTTTTTTTTCTATCCTTCTGTGTGAATGTTTCCTTCTCATGGTCTTTCCTGCTCTTGGTATGTTATGAGTGAACACTAGTGAGATGATAATGATGTCATCAAATGAGGAAATCTTTGCAAGTAGTGGGCAAACATATGTCTACATGACCTTCATTTTGTACAGTAAGAGGCACAAGAGACTTAGCCCTTTAAGTCAATGATATGCAGAAATGATCTGATGGACTCTTTATCCCCCACTGCCTGCAGTGGTCCCAGGTTTAAGTCGGTAATACTTTTCTGTTTTAAAGCTGGCAAAGAGAAAAAAAAAAAAAACAACAAAAAACCACCAACCCCCCCCAACCCCTGAACCAAAGTGAAGAAAGCTCATGCGTACCCAGGGAGATATGTTCTACATGTCAAATATCCAAAATCCTTCCCATCGCAGTCTTCAACCCCCTCGTGTCTGTAGCCATCTCCACAGTAAGCACGGCGGCATCCTAGTGAAAAATACAGAAAGAAATATCGTCAAGGAACTTCATATGTAAAAGATGCAGGCGAGGTAAGTGGAAGTAGATTTTTAAGGGTAAAGTATAAAACAAGGCTTTTTGGGGAGGGCATCCTGTAAGGACTGGCTTAGGAGGAGCAATATTCTTCACTACAAAGAATATGCTTTTTTTAGTGTAATTTCAATGACCAAGGGAAAGAATGGATAACTACTAAAAATAATTACTACAGAAACACTAATTACAGCAGCATTTATTCTAATAATTATTATTACCATAGATAATTACTCTCAAAAAAAAAAGGTACCATAAAATGCAGTTAATGTAAATGATTTGAGGTCATTAAGTGGTTTCAAAATCCTAACCTACACCTTTACCTAATATTACACAGTATCTATGTGTATCTGCTGCGAGTTCCCACATAAGAACAGAATTATGCAAACCTGTTTCCTGTCCATCAAATAATAAAAAAAAAAGTATGTAATGATTGCCAAAAAGGTGTTTTTCCCACTGAGTCCCATGGACTTGAGTGTGAGTAGGCCTTGTGACATTTTTTTCATGGTGACTGGCATGTAGGTTGCAGTAATATGTGGGTTGGTTTGCTATTTTAGCGACTGGACTTTGACGTCTTCAACATTTTGAGTATGACTTTATAATTTAAAAAAAATTAATTTAGCTAAAATTCCTTTGACATCTTCTCAGAGACTTTATTAGGCAATGGATTAAAAGGACAGTCAAGAATAGGGAGTTTATAAGAGTTAAAGTGGGTTATTTACAAATGGAAATGATTAATTAATTGCACCAGGTTTGTTAGAAACTGATGCATGTAAGAACAACGAGCCTATTTTACAATTAAATCCACTCAACATTTGGTTAACCTTTTTCTTTTGGTTCAGTCACAAGAGCAGAATGATGACAATATACTCATTTCCAAGTAACTCGATGATAACTCTTTGGGTCACATCAGTGCCAGAAGTCAATGTACCGCAAGGCCTTGACTGACCTGAAGCTTTGGCCAGTGTATAGCGCACAGTAATACAATGTGCCTCCAGATGCACAATGTACAATTTTGCAGGCACTAGCACTAATTAAAGCTATTTTCCTGCGTGCTTGTTCCCCACGGTTGATTGCAAATTCTAATTGAATCATTTTCTTGTGCTTGGAGCCTGGACAGCTCACCCTCTCTGGCTGGATTACTCTGCAGTCAGGCAAGCTCAGAGAGACATTCATTTGTATGTCTCCCTATACCTGTTGCAACTGAATTGCCTTTGAAATCTCTTTCCTTATTGTCAATGGGAAGTTGACTGGGATTCCTAAGTTATAAGGAGAAGGGTGGCAATGGATAGGTGGGTGGAAAAACTCAGTGCTGCTTACACTTCATTTCCTTAGAAAGACACGCTAAAAAATGGAGGGTTGTATAAATGAAAAAGAAAAATTGCATCTTTCAGTGTTGGCTGATACTTGTTCTGAAATGTGAGGAAGCATCCCTTTGCTAGAACCAACAGAGTACCAAGCCTGCTGTGTGTCAGCTGTAGATGGTGTAGAGCGCTGCGCTCCAGGGAAAGAATCAAGCAGCAAAAGTAGCTGAGAGGTAGAAGTGAAGGTTGCCACAGCTGCTTGTACGCTTGTAGGCTCCTTGCTATCCACAACCAGCAAAACAAAGAAAGATTGACTAGACAGGAATAATGTTATATAAACCTAATAGTGAAGGTAGTGGGCTGACACCTTCCCCAGGCAAGTGAATAACAAAATCCAAAGTAGTTTTCCTGGACCCAGGATCTGGCTTACCAACAGCCAGCACCAGTGTCTGTCCTAAGGGTCTGTGGTGCACTGCAAAGGGATGCTACATCTTGTGGCCAGGGAGCCGGCAGCCCCTGGGGAAGGTGTGTATGCAAACCAGCTGCTGGATTTGGCCCCTGAAATGCAGCGATTTTGCTCTGACTACAGACACCTCTGCTCAGTGAGGGTCCTCGATGAGGATGCGTGAGAAGTACTTGGGGTCACGTCTGTCTTGTGCTGGTGTGTGGCACGCACATGCGCAAAGGACCTCAGTTTTTGTTTCATGGCCATCATGCCTCCCTCTCCCCATGCGTGCACTCGAGTCACGAACCACGCAAGGTCCTGAGTGAAACACTTCTGTGATTTACACAGCGGTGTACCCTGCAGAAATGACTAATGCACCTTCCGTGGTAGAAAGGCTGCTCTTGATGCGCTGTAACTTACTTATACAGTCATCAGTCACAACGGCATTGCCATCGTCGCACTCTTCCCCATCCTGTATGATCCCATCTCCACAGGTACCGCCAGCCTCAAAGTGGTAATCCACGGGATAGAAAGGGGTGAGCTGGCCAAAAAAACACACAGCGGTTACTGAACCGACCACGAGCAGCCTGGCTAGCAAGCAGAGGTGAAGGGCTGTGGGGGGGCAGATGCCACAAACAGGTTTTCATATCCCGCTATTTGGTGGTTCACCGGGTTTATACAGAACCTGATTCAAAGTCCAGTGGATGCAAGAAGGATCCTACTGCTGATTTAAGTGAGCTTAGCTTAGCTCCTTGAAGCAATAAGGAAACACATGGTTTTGTTTTGCAGGGTTTGTGTTTTCCTGCAACTTTTTACTGGGGTGAGTTTTGCCTTATTTTGTATTAAATAAAAGATGCTCTTTACTATCGTAATTCCCCAAACCCAGCCCCAGTTTGTTCACCAGTGGAGCCTGGTTCACAAGGAGATTGGCAAAACCTGCAGCACTGATGAGCTAATGCCTCAGTAATTAAGACTTCTGTGAACAAAAATCACAGAATTAGATACAGTCATGGCAGTGCTCAAAAATGAGCTTTTTCTCCATTTGCTTCATTGATTCTCTATGACACCTTAAGCACAGAAGTATGTTCTGTATGAAATGAAACATACACTCACGAGTTTTCTGAGACCACAGTCATATTTTCACCTGGATTGGGAGCCATCCAGAGGTATCCTTGAAATACAAAGATCTCTGATCTCTTCTAAAAGCTAAGGCATTTTCGGTGTTTAACCGGTCCAATTCTTCTTGATTATTCACCACAAAAATCTGGGGCACAGAAAAAGAGGTGATTGGTAACCCTCTCAAGAAGTAGTTTGGATTGTCAAGGAATCTAGTTTTGTAAGCTGACAGAGGTACCTGCAAATAAGTAAATAATTACACAGAAAAATGGTTTGGTTGCTTTCAGAAACAGAATGTTATTCCAGCCCTGGGTGAAAACTAACACCCATGGACTGCCAGACTGTAAGAGGCTCCTTTGTGACTGGTAAGAAGAGACACAAATTGGCAAAGGAGACTGGTCTTTCCTGACCCCCTACCTTTGGCCCCTATTTCAAAATGCATATCCACAGCTAATGATTGTGCAAATACTCACGCACAATCATTGCTAACACAAAACTTCAGATGCTCAAATGGTTAGATGCTGGAACAACTGCTAAAGCCATATGGGCATAAGAGCTTTTTGTGGGTTTGTCTGTAATTTTTTAGGCATGCTCATGGCTACAAAATAAATAATGCATTCAATGCGGCCTTTACTTATCTTTTACTACTTTGCACTTTGTTTAGATTTAATTGGCTTTGAAATGCATGTTTCTTTACTTGCATATACTTTAGTATAAAGCCAAGTCCTCAATTAAGTGGAAAAAAAATTAGTTCAAAATGGAAAAAATAGGATGAGCTGCTCTATTGCCAATTTTTTCAATGTCTCAGTTACTGAAATTGGCTGTAAGGGGCATTAGGAAATGCTTCCTTCAGCAGCTTAATCAAATTAATTTTAGCAAGATTTAAACCATTTTTAAATTAAGAAAAAGCAAATGGAATGCTTCTGAGCAAAATGGATTTAGGGCTGAGCCTGATTCCCACCAACGTAAACAGAATTGGCTCTTTTTAAAACAAATTACCCCCAAATTTTTACATAGCAGAATATTCCCATAGTCCCCAACAAAGGCCAGTTTCATTAAAGAAGCATTGAATAAAAAGCGCCTTCAGCTTGACAGAAAGAAAACAAAGAAATAGAAAGCCAGCAAAGAACTGGTTGTGTAATTGTGTTCAGGAGCTCAAGTCCCAGCCCCAGTGCTCTAATTTCTCTTGAAATCAATAACAGATCTGTGCTCTCTGGAACGCTCTGTTACAGATACTGGCCTTTGAAATTCCCAAAGATTTAAAAACCAGAATGAACCTTAGCCAGTGACAGAAAAAGAGCACTTTTTTTCCTATCCTCTCCCCTCCTCTGGCAGCGCTGTCACCGGAGGAGTTGACGGGCGAGTGGGTGATTGCAGTGGGGACGTGCCGCGGCAGGGTGCTGCTTTGCAAAACCATGCGCCATGGGGACTGGGGGCACAGAGCACCCTCTCTGGGTCTTTCCCATGTGCAGCTATAGTGACCCGGACAATGGTCTTCAAGTGGTACAAGGCAGGCTTCAAAGCTGCTACATGTGGATCTGAACAGAATAAATAATAGCAATGTTTAAGCTCCTGCTCTTGACGTTCGAAGGAGTAAAGCAAATGGGGGGGAGGCAAAGGGGGAGCACTGCTCTGCAGGTGCTCCAGTTTCAGAGCTGAGGCTTGCCTCTTTGCCATCCCTCGTTTCTGAGAACAAAATGGCACTTCATCATCATCAAATGAGAGTTCATAGAGATAGTGTAGAGTGCTTATAATTTAGGTAGGTACACTCTCATTACCATCTTTTAAGATCTAATATGAAACTGTGCCAGATGGAAAAGGAGGGTCATAAGACCTACACAGAATCTTGCAAGCCTTATTATACCTTCTCCTAGGAGCTCTCCATGCCATCAAGTACGTGACAATTTTTTGCAATAGTGTGCAGCGCGATGTGATACACACCTTTATTTCATGTACTTTCTTCCCTCGGCTTTACGTTTTAAGAATAATGGGGCTTTTTTGTAATGCAACACGGACAGGGATGAGTGAGCAGCTGACAAGACTTGCAGCACACTCATGCAAAAGATTGAGTTCAATGACCCGGTTTAATGGCCAGTATTGTGAGTATGTCCCTTTCACAAATTCTAACAGCTTTCTGACAACGTGACAGATGGGAAAGTTAACAAAGCTAATCGCTGCTTATTGTCATTCAGAGATGACCAGACACCGCGCAATATCCACTTGCATGAGTGGAGCGGCTGGGCTATGCTGGTACACAGCAGCAAGGTAGCTTTTTCATTGCTGATTAAGTGCCACAATGCACAGAATAATAAAGCAGGGTCCAGCAGAAAGAAAAGTACAGAAGTAATATTTACAAAGCCCGAAGAAATCAGAGATGAAAGATTGCAAGGTCACTTTCCACCAATGACTTGCCCTTTAAAGTACTTTGTCCAATTCATTTGTAAAAGATGCTTTCCAGAAGGCTAGAGATTGAAATGAGCTATATAATCTGTATGTCTACAAACAGGAGCTCAGAAGTCTGACTCTCGTAGTTTGTGGAGGGTCCTTTTTGGTCCAAGGTAGAGAGTCTGTGCTTTGGAAAAAAGTTCTATCATATATGTGAAATGCTTGATCTCATTATTCAATTCTGAAATCACTGTCTTTGCAGAAGAAGATATAAAAAATAAGCAAGAAAGAGATGCTTGTTTCACCAACCAATCTGAAATACATTTCAATTTACCGAAATAAAAAGAACAGATTATATATGTACAGTAGGAGACGGAAGAGAGCATCCTCAGACTTGAAAAAAGGTTTCTAAACATGTGCTACATTACTGATGGCTTGAAACAGCTGCATTTGAGCACCTCGATCACACAGCCCTCAGACTACTTATGAGACCAGAGTCTTTTGCACCAACTGGATCTCAGAGGTGGTGGATGCTAGCAATATCACATTGCCTGTTAAATCCAAAATATTGGTGAGTACACCACCTCTTACAATAAAAGTACATAAGAACTGCTCACATTCTCTCAGAAAATCTGCTTACCGCAGGGACTTTTGGATAACTGTATCCAAACACAGATTCCTCATACGGTGCGTTATTCACATGTTGTGGGGATCTGCAGAGACATCTTCCCGGAGGCCCTGGAAGTCCTCTTTCCCCTTTTGGTCCTATTGAGAATTGCCCTAGGAAGCAAAATGCCAGGTTGCCTTGTTATGAAATTAACATACAAAACACAAATGCAGCCTTAGTGGAAAAAGTATAGGTCAGGTGGATATATGCATTTATGTGCATTTTCAGAGATGCACATCTCCCACCAAATCCACTGGGAACTGAAGGAAGTGATGATCAGAAACACCAGTTCCAGCAATTCAGGAGAAGGACCAGGGTTTGTACAACAGTCTTTTTCTTTCAGATCACTTTTTAAATTTTTCTACCAACTTTACAGAGAAAAAGAGACCATTTGCTTAGGATTTCTAGATAAATGGCGGCCTGTTTGAAGCTACAGAAATTCAGGTCATGATGAGCACACAGATCACGCTACAGCACCTGTGCAGTAGTAGAGTGAGACTCTGCAAACATCCACAACGTGTTGGACTTGTGCATTTGTGCAACCACTTGAGCAATGCTGTTTCAGTGGTTTCTGTACAAGAAAACCCAACCAGAAATACAGGAGTGCTACAAATAAAAATTTAAAAAACTACTGCTTTTTGACTTTCAAACTTTGTCAAGGATGCACTGCTCTGGAGAATTAGACTATGACCCAACATGTTCATACTGCAAGCAGTGACATCATTACAGAAAGGTCGTTTAGGATCAGAATTTATATTCTGGAGGAAAAAGATTAACAAGTCTGACACATAAACTTTCTGTGGACAGAATAAAGCTTTTAAAAAATAGTCTCAAGATCCTGGCTGCCTTCCCATTGCCATGGTGAAAATTCTGCCCTCTGAAAACTTCCAGCTAATTTACCAAGACAGAGATGTTTCATAATGGGAGACATGAGACATGTGAAGATTTTGAAGCAGCCCCCAGCTTCACAGATGTACCATTTCCAGACCACCAGAAGGAAGAGACCTCCTGTCCACTGACATAAGCAAGGAAAGAAAAAGGGAAGGCAAAATGGAAGACAACATTGAACAGATTGGCTGCAGCGCAAGCAGCTGTTGTCCAGAAGCTGTACAATTATCAGTTAGATTTTTCTCGTGATTTCTACAACACACAGTTGCAGTGAGTGTAGTTCTACAGCACTTAATGAAAAAGAGATATTTTCTTTCCACTGCCTTTTTGTTCCCTCTGACTCCTATCCCTTTCCTTCTCTTCCCTTCTTTCCTTGATGCCATTGTCACTTGAGTCTCATCTGTTTTTCTTTTACAGAGCTACACAGGGTATGTCCTGCTTGATTAGAAATTGCAATCTTTCATTGTAAGCCAGGATATCTGGAGGAGAAGCAGACCTGTGATGATGGAGATTAACTAGTCCTTCCAAGGCTGCCAGATGGCTTTTCATCATCCCCATCTTCCAAAATCCCACAGGTACCACATACGCCATGTTTTTGCTTTTATTTGAAACATCAGAAGCCATAACGTAGGCTTTAAAGTAAGGTATAGAGCCTTTATAATGGACAAAGACGGAATGACCTGCCTTCAGGAGAAATCCTCTCCTTGCTGTCAGTGGAGAAGCAAACGAAGCCCTGCAGCACTTTTTGTAAAGGGGCCCATGCAGGCGTACATGATGAGTCAGGAAGGGCTGGGGAGCAGGGACGCTGTTTAGGAAATCATCCAATCTCCTGCTTACCTGATCCTGAAGGCCCAGGGGGGCCTGGCTGGCCAGAAGGACCAGGCCTTCCAGGTGGACCCATGATACCCGCAGGTCCAACATCTCCCTTTAATCCCTAGAAGAGAGGTGACATCCATTTATTACTAAACGATTAATAGCGCACAATCTCTTCCAGCCAGCACTGGCTTCCCTTTCAAGAAAGCCAAGACATTCAGCAATAGGAGTGTGCAACATGAACTTCATAGCCACCACCCCAAGGAAGAGGAGCTGTCCTCTTTTATGTGGAGACAGAAAAGCATGGTCAGGCAGGACTTCTGCTCCTAAAAGTGAACAGTCCCAGCAGATCTGCTCTGTGTGGAGTCAGGAATCACCCTACTCTGACTCCAATCATTTGGTGGTCTTTCTTTAAGGATGCCTTTTTAGCCCTGGTAGCTCTCTAGGAGTCAGTACAGCTCAGAAAGAAAGGGCTGGTGGAGCTGAAATAGGTGACCCTGGAAATCCCTAGTCACTGCACGAGGAAAAAAAAAGGGAAAATTCAATAAGGCATAGGCAAGAGCTTCCACAGTGACATTTCCCAGTCTTAGGGTGCAGTCTTTCAGAAGCACACTAATGACTCTGAGGTCCATACTGTTTTCAGAAGTACTTGAGATGCTGGGCCCCCTGTATCTCCTTGACTTTAACCATGGGTATAGCTATATTAACAAATCATTGCAAGGCAAGCAAGGGCTTGGCTTTACAAAGTGCAAACTGGCATGTGGCATCACCATGCTGACAAATGGTTTCTCTCTGATACCTTATCACTCAGTCAAAATGCTGTAAAATTACGTATGGGAGATGAGCTTATACACAGTAACCACACAATAGCTAATATTCTGTAAAATCAGCACTAATTTGCCTCATGGGAGGTTGTTTGTGCAGCCATACCCTTAGGCATTTGGAAGTTTCACCCTAGAGCTGTTCGGTACCTTCCTATTTTTGCTTCTGAATTTAATATGGTGACACTTATTAAAAATAACTATATTTATCTTCCTGCTCATATACTCTTCAAGGCTTGGATTTCTCAGCTTTATATTTCAGAAGTGTATTACACTGCTTAAAGTTTAAATATCTGATTTTATTTTTGTGTAACAACATACATTATTTAGCATAACAAAAATGATGTGTGCAATGTAAGCTTTCTTTTATTGACAAAGGAGATGAATTCCTTGGAGATGGTGTAATTCCAGGTTAATGTGCATTCATGGGCATATGTTGAGTGGTTGCATGTCTAATTTCAGAGTAATGAAGCATATATAGTAATATATGCTAAAATAATTTGGTTATATAATATGTTGTATCCCATGGATACCTTTGAATGTCCCTTGCACCATTTCAACAGAGGAAGGTTGATTTTTGCCATGGCCCATAAAGAACTAATTAGATATTTGCTTTGTTTAATCCTATTAGGTAAGCTCTGTGTCATCAAAATATTCCAGGATTTATGTGAATGTCAGCGACGCTGATCTCTAATTACTTCTTACATTACGCAACACAGAACTAGCAGACCGGGATTTTGTAGCCCCCATGAAGTCTGTGGGAAATCTCTTTCCCACACACAGTAACGATCCAGCAGAAGCAAACCAGGGCCAGTTGGACATGTACTGCCTGAAAACGAGTTGTCTTCTGTGTCTCCTGCTTTGGAGGATTGATTGCTTAGTGCTCTAATGTTTAGCACAGATAGAATAAATAATAATGGCCAAGATTTATATTAAATATCTTTGCCTTGTTTTTCTTTCACATCCACCCATGGCATTCAGAAAAGCTTTTCCCATGGACAGTATTTATATTCCTCTCCCTTCTTTCAAAGAAACATTATCTAAAGCCCTAAGTCATTCCTCCTTATCGAGACTGAAACCCTAAACTTGTTCCTTAGGGTCAATTCCCAAGTTACAAAGCTTCGGGTGTTCTATCTCAGTTTGAGGGCAGTGAGGTTGTGAGTTGTGACTCCCACCTCCTGGCCACCTTTTAGGAAGACCCTGCCCCAGAGGCAAGGGAGAGCTGAAGAAGTCAGTGAGGTAATCAAGACTTATCTCAAAATGGAAGTGGAAGTGACACCTTCCTAATTTAGCTGCTTTTATCTAGGGATGTCAGCTGGATCAAGATACAGGAAACGGTCCCATGTAGATGAAAACTATCCTCTCAGCTGAACAAACAGCCAGACAACTACAGCGCTTAAAGGCAGCAGTCAGACCCGCAGAGCCTTAAAATGCCACTCTCAAGTTTTTTCAAAGGATTGGAAAAGAAGAAAGGAAACAGCTAGTTTACCAATTACAGAGGGAAACCCAGTTTTCCTGCAGAAGATCAATGCTGAGATTGCTTTTGGGGAACCAGAAAGGGGTTTGTGTACTGAGTCTTGGGCCTGGAAATCCTAATTTAGGGCCAGACTAGTTTTTTTAGTCACACTGGTTGTTGCCTTAAATTATAACACGCCTCATTTCACCACTTTTTGATTAAGACACTGCATAACATGACAAAATGTCTAGGGTCAAGTAAGGAGTGCACTGTGTTCAAATTGATCTGCAGGCGCTGCGTCTTCTCTTTGCCTTATGTTACGGGAAGATATTCTGTGCACATTACTTTGGCAGGACAGATGAGCACAGTTTACAAAACAAAACCAAAAAAACAACAGCAAAGAGCACACATCAGCTTTTAAAACCTAACAAATCAAGGACAAAAAAATATTTCTTCTGGATCATCTAGCAGACTTACATTGCACGTAGCTTCCTTGTTTGGCGACCTATTATTCCCCTGCCCCAACACCCAACTTTAAATTTTTCCCCACATTCTTTCACTTCAGATATTAGCTGACAGCATCAGAGCAACAGTGAAGCAGGCATGTACCTCTGTGTGCAATGCTGGGCATAACCAGACTGCAAATAAAGCAGCCCATTAACCACCTCATCTACAAGCTCCTGCGCCTGACCAGATGCAGATCAAAACCAACACTGGTCTAACGAGAACAGTTTCCCTTCCCTGTCAGTGGGAAGAAACAGGTTCTGCAGGTGGCAATTCAGAGCACCAGAGGGACTGATCTTTGTCCTCCCAATATCAGTGTTTAAAATAAATAAAGAAGGAAAGGTGCCCCCAAAGAGGCCCATTTGGTGACTTGAACAGGTAACTACACCAATATTGCTATCTCTTCCTTGGAAAATGCTATAGCAGAGGAGTCAGTATCAATTTTATATGTAATTCCTGGTCTTTACAATTCACCTGAAAGCCTGAAAAAAATAATTCCGCCAGCATAATTATTTTGAGCTCTAAATAAGGACCATTTGTCAACCATCCGATTCCTGAATAGCTTCCGTACAAGATTACTATCCCGTAAGGTCACTATGTGTCTTTCTGACCTTTCTCAGAGCAGAAAAATCTGTCCCTGGCATGCAGTATTATGGCAAGAACCATCATATAAATATCCAGTCTAACCAACCAATCTTGGTTTAGTGTTAACAGAGGAAATGGGAGAAACAGAGAGGTTGTCTTAGTGTTTTGGTTCGTTGCACTGTGTGTCGGACATCTCCGAGGCCTTGTGGCTCTGCAAGCTGATCTGTGTTGACCAACACTTAGGCCTGGGCAAAGCCTGACTCAACCAAATTGGATGGTGTGGACAGAAAGCATCTTCCGGGCATGCCCAGCAGCAAGGACAGAGCCTGGATGGACACTGGATGCACACTTAGTTCATGTGCTAGAAACCAGGACTGTATTACAGTGTAATACAGGACTGAGGTTTGGATGTATAGACCAGTGGTTTTCATTGCCACAGACTGCATACCAGTTTAATCCATGGCAGCATACCATTCTTAGTGTACAGACAGCTACTGCCAGTGCATACCAGCAGTGGTTTTGTTAACAGTAGTGTAGCTCTTTGCACTAGTTAGCCAGGGAGAATGTTCATGGACAGGCAATGGGACATCCCTTGCAAGATGCTGATGCTGCCTCTCTGCCCGGAGCTGATGAGAGGATGGCTGGTTTTGTAGCATCCACAGCAATCCTCCCCTCATTCAGAGCCCCAGAAAGCCAGTGCTTCCTTACAAACCCTCCTTACTTATCCCAGGAACCTGTTTTCACTAGGGGCAGATGGCACCTGGGCAGGCTGAAATGTGTTGGATTTTGAATATAGCCCGTTTAGCATTGCAGCCTACCAAGCTGTCTGTAAATTGAGCAGCCTGCTCACTAAGTCACCCTCAGGGATAGGGATCTACAAAGTGTAGGGCCTCATGATGTTACATCCCACACTATCTGAAACTTGGACCTTACTTCAACTCTCTAGCCATCCATCAGGTGGGGTTGGGACTGTAGTTCTGTGTTGATTGGGATTCAAAGGGACCATTCAAGTTCTGGTCAAGTTATATTCAATGAGTTCGTTATCAAGCCAGGGAAAATACAACTCTCCCCATGCTGTGCGGCCAGGGAGCTGAATGCTGCAGATAAGGCTCCAGCCCTAAAGCTGAAGCTTGAACTTCCTGCACAGCCTGTGCATGCGTGTGAGGTGTTTCAGGGCTTCTGCCTGCTCCCGCTGTGACAAAGCGCATGGTATCATCAGAGCACAGACCGCGCAGTTGTACGCCATGACCGCACGGACACCAGGAGTCACGGGAAGGGGAAACACCATGGTCCTACTTGTTTGCCTCGTTTTCCAGGTCTTCCTATAGGTCCTCTGTGTCCTGGTACTCCAGATTGTCCCTTCGGGCCCATCTCTCCCTTGGTGGGTGCAGAGGGAGGAAGCAGGACATAAGTACAGAAATGCAAATTACCTTGGTTATACCTGCCTTATATAAGACAGCAGGTGGATGGTGCTCTGATTCATACAATTCCTTTAGATAATGCTGGCACCATTTGTTTCTCAGAACATCAAAATTGTAATAAAATATTTTAAAACAAGCATAAAGTAAAAAATACCTCTTACAATTTACCCAAATTTCCCTGCAAAATAATTTCCTAAAGAGGAAGCCAAATGGAGCAATCAGAAACGTGCTCAAAGACTTGGAGAGGTCAAGGCTAGCAAAACTCTCTGACCCCTTGGCAATATCTTGCTTTGATGTTAAGATGCATGTGTAATAAAATCATTCAGGGAAAGGGAGGTGAATTCACTCATCCTCTAGCCTCCTTAGAAGTACCCATTATTTCCTTATCCTAATTTCAGAGATAAGATGTGATCATGTCATAAAATTATCCTCCTTTAGGATTTCTATCCATAAGCCAACATCTGAATTGTGAATGTTTTTCAAGTACAGAATAATGATGATATCAAAGCTGGTCAGGGTTATCACAGCTATTTATAGTAGTCCCATTTTGATCCAGAGTATCAAGAAGGAAATATGTATTATCTTTGAGTGAATAACATTCTGTTAGGCCAATTACGACTCTATAATCAAGAGTTTGAATGTGTTAAACAGGAAGAAGATGATGACTAAACAAATGTTCTGGGGAAAAAAAGGGAAACAACCAACTAAATCTCAGAGTTTTCTACTAACATAAAAGGCCTAAAGGATTTTATGAAGTCCAAGAAGTTTTGGTCATTGAATTAAGCAAGACCTTCAATGCCTTATACTTTCCAGGATGTCCCCAAAGCCATTCGTTGACCCTATGCCAGCACTTAACTCCCCAGTACATCACACCCACTTACCTTTTGTCCCAGCATTCCAGGGAAGCCTATTTCTCCCTACAAAGTAAAAGGAGAAAAGTCATCAAAAAAAATGTGGAATGATCTTTGACAAAGCAGCACCTTCCTTGGAAGGAAGAAAAACAAGTGCCATGTACTGGTAGCAGTTAAAAAAACACACGCTGTGATTCAGCACTACAGGTGATGCAGTAGGCGGAGAACTATAAGCAAAGTTTTGCTGTAAAGCCCCTTGTACAGTAATGCTATTCCCCCATTTCATCCTCTGCTGCCTACTTCCTCTCCTCCAGAAAAAAACATCCTGATTGTGCATTTGTCTACAGGCAACCCTGCTACTTGGACAACTCCCAAAGCCTGCGTTTGGGAATGGCATTTCTCCATTTACATCACAAGCAGTTTACTTTTCGTTTCTTAGTTAAAATAATTCCCAAGCCATGAATCTCACTTTTTTTTCTTTTTTCTTTTTTCTTTTTTCTTTTTTCTTTTTTCTTTTTTCTTTTTTCTTTTTTTCTTTTTTTTTCTTTTTTTTTTCTTTTTTCTTTCTCATAGCAACATAGTATCACCAGCTAAGCATTTTGGCAAGCTGTTGTGGTTCTGGAGTGCACAGGCCAGGAGAGACAGAGGTTACATCCAGGGAAATCCCCCTCTGCCTTGTCATCCCCGCGTGCGCTGGGGCTGGGAGGACACATGGACACGGAGGTTGCCCCACCACCCTCCCATCAGGTAGGACTACAGCCTTCCCTCCCAGGAAGATGCCTCCAGACTCCCTTCATCCATACTGCTCCTGTTTTTTTCCTATCAGAAATACATTAGTCCTCATGTGCACATTCAGCTAAAGCTCACAGCCATTTGGAAAATAAAACTACCTGGTCTCCTTTGACTCCTTTGTCACCTCTGTCACCTCTGGATCCCTGGAGAGAGATAACAGGGTGACAGCAGCTTAATTACTACCATTTCACAAAGAAGCAGAAAATATTTATCCTACAGGAGGCATTATTTGGAGTCACACAGAATACAGTAATATCTCCAGAGTAAGGCATACGGTAAACACCCTAAAATGTTTCCTTATTACTTTCCTTGATATTATAACAGAATTAAGAGTGAAGCTTGTAGGAAAAGACTCATTCTCCCCAGATAATTACTTTAAATACATGCTTTCCTGGATGTAATACTTCCAAACTTGATTTTTTTCCCCAGTTGGCTTCATCGAAGCTCAGGTCCCACTGTAAGGTCTTGCAGTAAAAACTGTCTTTCTGCCAAAGTATATATAGCCTAAAGAAACCAGAGCAGCAATTAAGGATTATTATACCCATTCTACAGATGGGTAAACTGTAATGAGGTGCACTGCAGTAACTTGTTCATAAGAAGACAGGGTATAACACTCACTTCTTCAGCATCCCAGCCCAAGCCACAAGACTGTGCTCCTTCTCGATGCTTGTTTTCATTTCTCAGTGGGACCTTTAGACTTCATCAAAATTCAGTCTCATTTCTATACTTTTTTTATGTAACTGTTTCCAGTTGCTAAATTATACATTATTCTATTGTCACACTGACCTTTTCTCCTCTAGTTCCAGGAAAACCCTAAAGAGAAAGATAGATATTTTAATGCTTCTCAATTTCAAGACTACCCAAGAAGCAGGACTTTCAAACTTTAAAGTGAAGAAAAAGAATGAAGCACAAATAATTAATTGCATCGACTTGTAAATGCAAATCAATATTTATAGCTTCTAAAATTGCACTGAAACAGAACCATGAACTATGAATTAAAGGCAAGACAACTCAGCCCAAAAGCCACTGTGAAAAAGCCAAGTAAAGCCAGCAGGTTTGATATTGCTTTTAAAATTGAAACAAGGGAAAAAAAAATGTAACTGAAAGTGAATGAAGCTTTAGGCACCACAATTAATGATCTATAATAATTTTAGCCATAATCTTCCTCTTCTGTTTTTTTCTTCCCCTGTGGATCATCCTTAAATTATACTTCAGTAAACTTCTAATGTGAAGATTACTATAAAACTGAGTTTCTCTTTAATAAACACAAAATGTTCAGTTCTTCTTTGCAGTCCTTTATTTGAATAAACTAATTATAGAACTTTTTGAAGTACCTTAAAATATTGTGGCCTAAATTTGTAAAGGCAGAGGCTATGCTATAGACGGTGATGTATAGATACTAGAACATCCAGACCTAATTGTGCTTACTATCCAACTATCAATACATATGTGTAGTTTAAGTAGAGGACTAAAATGGTCTCCACAGTCTTATGAGGTGGGTGGAAAACATTGCAGACACAAGTTAATGCTGCAGATACACTTAAGAACTCCAGTTTTCTAGTGGGATACAATTATATATAAGTTTTGCTTTTAAAATAATTTTTTGCATTACAGTAATTTACACCAAAGCATTTTTGTGAAAAGCCAAAAACACAGCCAAGCCCAACCAGACAACATAACCTTGCTTGAAGGAGAACATATCTTTTTAGATGTATTAGAAAAGATATATCTTGATAAACACTTTCCAGCAAATTCATGAGGGAAGCAGCTGTCAGCAGAGCATTAGAAACCAATGATGTCTGAAAATGCAGCGTTTGGTTAACAAACCTTGGAGCCCATTGGTCCTCTTGTACCTGGCAATCCCATCACACCCAACTCTCCCTTTTCACCCTAAAGGGGTCAATAAAGAGAGTTATTGATTGTGGCTCTCTGACGAGGTCATATTTGAATGTCTGATAGTTTAGCGGTTCCGGTTTTATGTCAAATAGTTGAGACAAGCCTGACCTTGGTGTAGCTTTGTAGTCAGAGGTCTACATTGCAATTGTATTCTGCCTGAGTCCTCGTATGTTATCTTATTCTTCTATTTGCATTTTCTCGGGTGTGTAACTTATGCTTCAGTTTTGCCAGATGCTATTAAAGGACATGCAAGCAAATTAGCAGCAGTGCATCCTTTCACTGCATGAAGGTGCGTTGTCTCCACCCAGCATCGTTTCCACTGAGTTGCAGAGAAGAAAGGTATTTTGCTGCAAGCCTTTATGGCTTGGGGAGGCATAGCAATTACTTTTGTCATAGTTCTGAGGCATCATATGCTTTACAGAGGTTTGGAGCCAGTAAATCATGAAAAGGCTTTACAACAACTCCTCTGGCTGCTGTGAGCTAATCATACCTAGGGTGAAATACAGAGTAGTCCCCACAGACATGCAGCAGCCCTACCAGCAGAATACAGGTGGCTCTCATTCTCCTTTGGCTTTCAGTGTCCTAGTAGTGGAGAGGATTTTCACATTGGCTACTGCCCCGGGTTCAGAAAAGACTTGAAGAAACAAAGTAGGAGAAATAAGTATCGCACCAAGGCTGTGTCAAAGAAAGAGAAGACAAGTAAGGAGACGCAGCTGAAGAAACAGAAGGCATAGAGATGGGAATGGGGAAAACAAAACAAAACAAAACAAAAACAAAACAACCCAAAACCCAAACAAACCAAACAGCAGCTGACTGGAGATCTACAGCAAGAAGAAGATGCGGCAAACAACTATAGTGAAGATAAATATCAGGAGTTTGGGAAGATCAGAGATCAGAAGAAGAGAAAGAGAGAGACAACCAATGGATGTGAGCACAGAGATCTTCTGGCCTCTATTCCACTGGAGCCTTCATTGACAGGCAGGAAACAGAAATTTACAAAGATCAGAAGAAATGAAAGTGTGAACCCATTTAAAGAAAAGCAGAGACAGATATCTGAGGAGACAATAAAGCAGAAGAATTGGAATCAAACAGCAAGTAGGACTTGCAGTCAAAGTATAGGAAAAAAGTATTACTACTGAATGTGAGGGATGCTTCTAAGAGTGTGATGAAAAAGTGTAACAATGGACAAAGAGGAGATAAAAATCAAAATTAGGAAGACTTTGTGAATAAAACTAGAGCTTATATAAGGAAAAGGTCAAGTAAATGAGTTTTCTGACTGCTGTATTCTCAGTAATCAGGCTGTGAGGAACTGAGGTAGTTGGACCTTCCGTCTGCCTCACTGCTCTCACTGTGAGAAATCACAGCACACTGCATTTTGGGGGACACCATTTCTCATCTCACAGGAACATTGGCTCCTTTTTTGTACATAGTCTCTTGTTGCTTGCCTACATTTCCACATCCTATAAAATGATGTTCCTCATCTAACATAGCTGTGAAGAGCTTGAGGGTCTGCTTCCCAGATGTTGCTTGAATGCAGAAGTCATCTACTATTATTCTTGCAGTAACAAGAGCTACTGCATCACATCCTCTGAGGTGGCGGCACCAACCTTCATGGAGGAAATGAAGAGCCGAAGATTTACTGGAAAAGGCAGCTTTGAACTAAACATTGTGTGCAGTTCTTTTGCCTGATGCATACTGGATTGAAGAATAGTTATCTCAAAAGTCCCGGTAGAAATTCCATATATTGTGGCTCCTGTAAAGAGCTGTATACCTTTTGTATAAGGTAATACTCAGTAAAGGACTTTTTAATAATATATGCAGATGAAGCAACCACTCTGCAATAGCAAAGCATGTTCTGCCATTTCTTCTGCTGTTGGCTATGAAAAAATCACAGGAACGAATGTTTGTATGGGAATGAACTTCAAAGATCTGATCAGCAATCCACGTGGTTCATAATCTCTTTCCCCTGACACCAACCTGGTGTTTTCCCTGTGATCACATGGGCATACAGTTACGCTGCCAAGAAGTACACATTCAGGCAAAGAGATCATCCTAAAGGATAGGCACAAAGACAACGATCAATTTTGAAACCCTGATTCATGTGACTGTGAGACACGAGTGGTTATCAATGAGTCTTCATTAGATTGACCTTCAATTTCCCTTTCATGTATTTTAATCAACATAAGAATTGCTACAGGGGCGAGGCTGAAGGTGCAGTGACCCAACCCTGGACTGGGCAGGTCTTTGCAGAGCAGTATGAGAAATGGGACAAGCACAGAGTGTCCTTGCACAGCTGCAGCTTCCCAGCCTCCAGCAAATAGTGGTTTAGAGACTTCCCGAGACAACTGTTGTGTTCAGATCGTGATGTTGAACAGGTGATCCCATGTGAATTTTAGTCTTACCTTCGGTCCCACAGGTCCAGGCCATCCTACTGGTCCTGGCATCCCAGGGACACCCGGGGGACCTGGTCTACCCTTGAACGGAAAACATCGATTACAATGATTCACGTAACATCATTCCTATACACAGGCCTCCACTGCAGACAGGAGATATGGAGGAATAAAGTCTTTTCAGGAAAAGACCTGCAAATGATTCCTTACCTTGTTTTTAGTACCAAAAATACTATATTATATTCATAAACCAGTTTGTGTTGATGATACTGGAGGAAGTGTGGGCTCACAGAAATGCCAGGTTAAACCAATACAAATAAGTAGAACAGCTATGGAGTAAATCCACATGCAGTCAGAATAATCATCCTAAACCCCCAGTATCAATAACTTAAATCGTCTTTTCATTTAATAATATGATGTAAATAAAAAAGACCTGCATGTAATTCAGTACGAATCCAACTTGCATTAACAGAACCAAATCTTTAACTAGGATATTCCTGGGTTTATTTACTATTATTCTTATTCTGAGCATTCTCATATTACTAACTATAATTGCTCTTTATTAGCTACTGTATGACTAGCAATAACTACATACATACATACAGTTATTTATACTCTTTGAGTATCTCATAAAATGCTGCAGATTAGTGTTCTTCCACTGCTTTATACCACTTGACAATATGATCTTAGAAATGTCATCATGACATTTGGGACTAAGAGCCAGACAGCTTTCAGCAAGTTATACTGTTTTATTTCCAGCCTGAATAACTTCTCTTTTTTTTTTTCCTTCTGTTTTTTTTCTCCCCGCCCCGGGTTTTCTCAGAAGAGTAAGGACTGATGTACTGTGTTTAAGGTTTTCACTCTCTTGTAGGTTGGTGGGTGACTCTCTTGGAAACATGACTGTTTTGAAACACATTTATATAAGTAATATTTTTCTTTACTGTAGGGCATTTGCAATTTAGATTAAAGAAAAAGACCTCTTCTGTTTATGTGTTTTGTATTTCTTTGAATTACTGATTGGTAGCTGGTGTTAAAATCCTTTGTATATTATTAGAAGGGTGTTAAAATCTTTGGTCTATTATTAGAAGGGTACTTCTTTTCCTGGTTAGTGACTACCCCCTGCATATCTCTGATTTCATCCTGCATTTCTGTCTTCTTTTAAAGTTAATTACATTAAATGGAGGTACTTAGTGACTGAGATAGTGTATTCTGTTTCATCACATGTAGAGGCACATATTTTTGACAATATATCATGGCTCATATGTCACCAAGCATAGGATTGTAGTCAGCATATTGCATTGGTGCCAAAACTTAGTAAGTGTAATCATGGATAGTTGTTCCTCCTTCGGGGATGTTTGGCTGAGCCTTGTTTAGACTTTGGAGGAGTAAAAAGTTTGATTTGGCTTTTGGCTTTTTTTTTAATACACCTTTTAAGATAGCACCTGTACTCTGCTTCCCCTGTCCACAGAGACATAGTTCAGGTAATTTCGCACTCTATTTCAATTGTCTGGCCAGAGCCGCATGCTCTGACTGAGGGAATTTGTCGAATTCAAACCAGCTGGGACCCCTCTCCAAGCCAGAGGGCCCAGCTCTTCAGCCTGCACCCAGAGCTCCCTACCATCCACCCTGAGCACCAGGGCGAGCAGCACAAACAAGTTAAACTTCAACATTAGCTCATTTTTATTTAACTATTGTCTGAACCCCTCTCCGACGGCTGCTGTGTGTCAAGTATTGGATGGGTTTCTGAGAGAGCACCTTTGTTCATACCTTTCTT